TTAAATGTAAAAAAAAAAAAATGTAAAAAATGAAGAAAAAAAAAGTGTCAACAATTCATACACGCTTTAATTGCTCCACATTATTTTACATTTACTGCGTCCAATTATTTTACCTCGTTCCTCCGCTATAAAAAGCGTTCATTTCTTCATTAAAGAGAATCGCGTTCATTTTTCATTCCTCGGAAACCCTAGGCGAATGACAGTGGCGTAGATCCCGCCTCTCATCAGCACGGTAATCAATCAATCTTCTTTCCTTGGAAATATCTATGTCATTCTATCACATTCCTTATGCACTGTTTCGTAGATTAATGCCTGTTTCGTTGATTAATCTGAGGTGTATTCTTTGGTAATTGCAAAACCTCGAATCTTTCAAATTTGTAATAATACAAATTTTTCCTTTGCTGTTGTTCAGAATAATTCATTGATGAATATATTACTCTTCTGGAATCTGTATTAAAGAAAATTTCCCCAAAATAGCCATCTAATCTGTACCTGCTTATTGCGCATAAAATTTTTCAGACATAGGGTTTTTGTATGCGGGGTTGTCATTTGATTATATTGCATAATGAAGTATTATTATTTTCTACAACCCTGGTAGTGTCGTTTGTTCAAACCCTGGTAGGGCTTTTTTCTATTCATTTGTTTTATTGCTGTTGGTGTCACTGGTTTCTTAAGATTCTTAACATAATGGAATTTAATGAAGAATGATTGTATTTTCTTTATTTTGAAATGGAGACCTGCTATGATTATAATTCATGAAGCCTTGTTATGTACTGTTAGAACAGAACTCATGTTTACTATGGTGGTTCGGACTTTAATTGGATGTTTATGTTTGGTTGTTCAGACCAAGAATGGCTCCATCTCCACGCGATATTAGGCGGTTTCGGTTTCGAAGGCATCCAGGACAATACCAACATGCATCACCAGAACATCAACGTCGTCAGTGGCCAGATCGAAGATCACCGTCTACACCATCAGCTCAATCGCCATCATCAGCCCGGCGTCGATCATCTCCG